GACGCGGCTCATGTTTATAACAGTAATCTTGGGGGGTAGACTCGTTTAAAATAATGTAATCATCAGGTTTTAGCCAGGTTTCTGTCAAACAGAGCACATCTAGGTTATGTTCTGTGATCATATCATTTACAACGCTCGCTTTCGTAGAAAGGGATCTAATATTCATTAAGCCAAGCTTTATCATTTGTTTAACTGTATTATATCTGTTTTTTATTTGTTGAACATCAATTAAATTGTTACCCTTAAATTGGTTTGGACGTTTTTTGTATTTGTTAGTTCGAGGAACAGACACAGTCTCTATAGTATGATATCTAGGTGAAAGAGTCTCTATGCGCTGACTTCTGTGATAGTAAGATTCCAACTGAAAATCAAAGCTACACGGAGCTACAATCGGAAACCACTCAGCAGCACGCAAAGTCCATTTAAGGCAAGTCATTTCACTCGGCGGCCATCTTTGAAACGCCTCTCGGGCATGCAAGTGCAGCTCATATCTCTTTGAATGGGGAAACATCGAGTGACACGTTTTAGGTATTCTATAGTCTTTGGCAGCACGGCAGACAAGAACCGGAACCGGAAAATATAGAAATTATATTTTCAACATGAAAGAAAGTACCGGTAGTTTCACTTCATTTCAATATTTTTCTCAGAAAGCTGCCCTGATTCGCTGTCCTTTAAATGTCCCCTCACAATACAGAGTAATTATTACAAGTTATAATAAAGTGTTACAGCTATGATTATATAACTTGTGTTTCTGCACGCAGATAGCCTGAACCACTTTATCTCATGCTGTTGTGTTCTAGTGGTCTGTAATTACTGTGGACATTGAAATGATCTTACTTGATTGTGCATTGTGTGTCAAAATAGATGAGTGTGTTTGTGAACGCATCTCCTATGACCTTAAAACACTCTCAAATGCACTTCATTATGATTGTACTGAGTTTTGAAAAGAATGATAATTTCATATGGGTTTTATAGTAGGTTTTTTTTCCCCATCCTTTACGTGTTGAGAGCAGCTCTGCAGAGCCGCCCAGAGGGATTTATCAGTTTGTCAGCACTTTATTACACTCTGACAGCACAGATTACGATGACAAATGGCTTGAATTTTCACCGGTGATGCTGTTTTTTATGCGGTCCGGTGAAAGCGCACCACATGTGCTCTGGAGATAAAGCCTTTAGGAGAGCGTTTGCATTTTTGAGTTGAGCTTTGAGTCAACATTTCTTGCCCTCGGGCAGTGTTGGAGCCTGTTTGTAATGGTTCGGTTGTTTTATCCAGCAGTGCTGGATTGTATTGATTAAGAAGCAGGTCACTGATACAGCATTCAGTGAGTGAATGTGGGTGAGAGCGTCATTCATAAAACATTCAGGTGACGTCCCAGGCACAGGGAGTGTGTTGAAATCCCTTTGATTCCACTAGAGTTTGATTCAGTCAATGTGTAAAGTTTAAATGCTAAACACACCGTTTAGCATTTAAAGAAATTAAAAATAAAATTGCTTTGGATTTTTCCCCAAAAAAACATGAATGTGAAATGAATGACACTTTAACTGCTAACCTGTTCTTGCCACTTTTCTTCAAACAACAATAAAGTTGAACTTCTGGTTCCATCGTCCCAATATAGATCATATATACGGAACAAAATTATAAACGCAACACTTTTGTTTTTGCTGTGCAATAATCATGTTGTCTAATCAGCATCTTGATATGCCTCACCTGTGAGGTGGATGGATTATCTTGGCAAAGGAGAAGTGCTCACTAACACAGATTTAGACAGATTTGTGAACAATATTTGAGAGAAATCGGCCTTTTGTGTACATAGAAAAAGTCTTAGATCTTTGAGTTCAGCTCATGAAAAATGGGGGCAAAAACAAAAGTGTTGCGTTTATAATTTTGTTCAGTGTAGATAGGTATAGATTATTTATTGCCTAACTTTAACTTTTTACTTCTGGCGATGGTATTTAGACTTCATAATTCATAATCACACTTGTGTTCATTTGTGAAGATCATCTTGTTGAAAAAAGGGTGGAAACCATAAAGCTTATTATCTTCAACAATCCAAAAGCTAAAGTAAAAATCCTACTGCGTTTTTGTTGAGGAAACCAGAGTGATGCTGACTTCTGGGTTGGCCTACAAAAATACATCATCACTGCAGCACTCTACTGAAAAACAGAACTAAAATACATTGATCTTCTGCTTTCATTTACTTTGTAGAACTCAGAGACGGTGTGTAATTTCTACCAGACGTTCCCTGAAGGCTCCGTTCTTGTGCCGGAGGGCCACAGGAACCCTTACTCCACTGAAAATGCCCATGCCAGATCCTCTCCCCGTCACATGTCCGTCACAGAGCGCCTGCACATGGTCATTCAAGAGCTGGTGGACACAGAGAAATCTTATGTCAAGGTACTAAACCGCAGCTGTGGCATTTTTCAAAGTGTATTCATTGTTTTTATGGAGACATTAATTAAAGCATAATGCCTTTTTTCTATATTTACACTGTCATATCACTTGTGTCCCGTTGTTTAGGACCTTGGATCTCTGTTTGAGATCTATCTGAAGCCATTACAAAGAGAAACCTTCCTCAGTCATGATGAGGTATGTTTTGCGGTGTAAAATAATGTGTTTTGGAGTCCAAATGGTCTTATTTTGTTATATTTAACTAAACTGAGTCAGATCCGAGCTCAGTTTAGCACATAATGTCCGTAATTACAGTTTTATCCTTTTGCTGTAGATGGAGTCTCTGTTCGGCAGCCTGCCAGAGATGCTGGACTTCCAGAGGGTTTTCCTACAAACCCTAGAGGAGAGGACAACTTCCTCACCAGACTACCATGCACTAGAGACTCCAGAGAAACTCAAGGTAAAATATGGTGATGAAATTATGCCGGATTGTATGATTAACCCTCTGATGAATAAAATAATCAGTTCCTAGTCTGGATCACCTGGAATAAACGATACAATTAAATACTCCAGAAGTACTTTTGTCAAGCATTTTGTTGTAAATTTAAAAACAAAATGACATAAATAGGTCTGTCATACAGAATTATGGGTAAGGGTCAAGTCAACGCACTGTTGCTATTGTTAAGTAAAACTGTTATTGTTAAGTAAAACATTTTTGTTATTTGAAATAAAGCTGAAATATAATATTAGATGGAAAAAGTTAATTTATTTATAAATTTTTTTTTTTTTAAATGTTGCTTTGGCAAGCAGCTGAAAAAGTTTAAAATTACTAACCAAAATAAAACTAAAACTGAAATAAAAATAAATTAAATCTATTTAGATAAATAATAAAAAAATAATTTAAAAAATCACATAAAATTACTCAAAATGTAACTAAAATTAAAATGAAAACTGATAATATAAGTCAAAATATTAATAAAAACTTGTGACTAAATGTGACTAAATAAGTGTCAATTTTTCAAAATTGAGATTTATAAATCATCTGAAAGCTGAATAAATAAGCTTTCCATTGATGTATGGTTTGTTAGGATAGGACAATATTTGGCCGAGATACAACTATTTGAAAATCTGGAATCTGAGGGTGCAAAAAAAAATCTAAATATTGAGAAAATCGCCTTTAAAGTTGTTCAAATGAAGTTCTTAGCAATGCATATTACTAATCAAAAATGAACTTTTGATATATTTACGGTAGGTAATTTACTAAATATTTTCATGGAACGTGATCTTTACTTAATATTCTAATGATTTTTAGCATAAAAGAAAAATCTATAATTTTGACCCATACAATGTATTTTTGGCTATTGCTACAAATATCCCCGTGCGACTTAAGATTGGTTTTGTGCTCCAGGGTCACAAATGGTACATTTACTGTACGAGGTTATCACTCATGGATATAACATCACAAAATCTGTCCATTATACAGACACTATGCAGACTGTTAATTTAATTAGACTATTAATCTGTTTTACATTTGATACATGTTTTCTTTTTCAATCTCGCATCCAGAAACTCCTCTTCTCCCTGGGTGGCTCTTTCTTATACTATGCAGATCACTTCAAGCTTTACAGCGGCTTCTGTGCCAATCACATTAAAGTGCAGAAAGTTCTCAAAAGAGGTAAAACATAAACACAAGCCTCATCTGACATGTCTCGTGGCATATTTCAAAAGAAGCCGAAAGAAGATGAGCCTGGTTCATATCATTCTCTGATTTGTCTGATGGCAGCAAAAACAGACTGGGCATTCAAAGAGTTCCTGGAGGCGAGAAACCCCACCAAACAGCACTCGTCCACCCTGGAGTCGTACCTCATTAAACCCGTGCAGAGAGTTCTGAAGTACCCGCTGCTGTTGAGGGAGCTGGTGTCTCTCACCGACCCCGAGAGCGACGAGCACAGCCACCTCACAGGTGAGAATCCGTCATAATCCATTAGAGATTCAATTATGAATTCAGTGAGTCAGCTGACATAAATGGTCTCCTTTCTGTCTGGTGCAGAGGCATTAAAGGCCATGGAGAAGGTGGCCAGTCACATAAATGAGATGCAGAAGATCTACGAGGACTACGGCACAGTGTTCGATCAACTAGTAGCAGAGCAGAGTGGCCCTGAGAAGGAGGTGCATACAATTCTAGAATTACTTTTAAAAGCATACAGGGATCATATTATATGCAGTATATTTTCCCTTTTATGATTTCAATATCAAGCCTGTGTGTTCTGCGTATCAGGTCACGGAGATCTCCATGGGAGAGTTCATCATTCACAGCTCAGCACTCTGGCAAAACCCTCTGCCCTCTTTGGGCCGCATGAGAAAAGACCCCGAACTCACCCTCTTCCGTAAGTCAGATCTGATTTACTGTAACTCTGAAAACCTTGCAGTTTATGCCGTGCAATAAATGTATAATATTAAAAAGTCAGTGCAGTAAGTCAGTGTTTTTATTCCTCCAGTCTTCAAGAGTGCACTCATTTTGGTGTATCGGGAAAGCAAGTTAAAGAAAAGAATGGTGAGTTTTGGAATGTAGCACATGGGGTATTTTTATTAGGTCTGTCAATTCATAAAAATATACATATTTTCATGCTATGCCAAATATTTAATTTAATTATTCACGTACATGAGTATTTGCAGAATACTGATACTTAAGAACATTACATGAACAGATATTACTTTATTAGAGCAGATTGGTCTATTTATTGAATAGACAAAAAACAATTTAGAAATCAAAATATACACTGCTCAAAATATACTGCTCAAAATTTTGGGCTCTGTAAGATGTCTGTTTATGCTCACCAAGGCTTCAATTATTTGATAAAAACAGCAATATTGTGAAATATTATTACAATTTAAAATAATTGTTTTCTGCATTAATATATTGTAAAATGTAATGGTAACACTTTATTTCGATAGTCCACTTTAGACATTCTATTAACAGTAAGTAACTTTGCAACTATATGTCAACTAGCAGTTAGTAGAGTATTAGTAGACTGTCTGCTTAATATCTTCTAACACTTTCTTTGTCAACTTATTCTACTAACCCTAAACCTACCCTAACAGTCTACTCTGAGAGTTAGTAGACATGTAGTTGACATGTAGTTACAAAGTTACTTATAGTTAGTAGAATGTCTAAAGTGGACTATCGAAATAAAGTGTAACCAATGTAATTTATTCCTGTGATCAAAGCTGAATTTTTCCAGTCTTCAGAAATCATTCTAACATGCTGCTCAAGAAACATTTCTTAGTATTGTCAATGTTTGTTTGTGGAAACCATGATTTTGAGAAAGAATAGAATGATTTATTTGGAATAGATTTTTTTTGTAACAATGTAAATGTCTTTACTGTCAAGTAAAGTTTTATATTAAAAGATTTATACTAAAAGTATTATATTAATTTCTTAAAATCTATCTGACCTCAAAATTTTGAACAGAGGGCATGCATGAATATATTATATATTGTTATATATACAAACAAATATTTGTTTTCTTTTGATATACTTCAAGCTTAAATTACAGAATTTACATGCAGGTCTGGGGTCAAGATTAATAGTGTTTTTAAGTAACACATTAAATTGACAGTCATGGTTTGGTTGCTGTTTGTAAGTTTTATACTGACAGACAGCTAACAGACATTTGTATGTTTATCCAACTAGACGTCTTCACGACCCGGGGATCTGGATCCTTTTAAATTCCGCTGGCTCATTCCTGTTTCATCCCTTCAGGTCCGACCTGGAAATTCAGCAGGTGTGTGCAACGTGATCTCGCTGTGTAAACTAAGAGATATCTCTGATGAACATGAGTTTGACATGGATTAAACAAGAGCTCTGTTCCTGTCAGAGAGTAGATCTAAGACAGACATGGTATTCAAATACCACTTGAACACGTCACATCAGAGCTCGTAATAAAAAAAAAAAAATGTGTATCATGAAAGTCTCAAGCCCTTTTAAAAGACTCATACATTGCCAAAATTAAAATCCAGTCCATAGCTTGCTTAAACATCCTACTCTTTCCTCTTTCAGGGTCAGAGAACCCCTGTGTTTGGGAGGTTGTTCACACAAAATCTGAAGTGGAGGGACGACCAGAGATGTCCTTTCAGCTTTGCAGCAGGTAATGATACTGAAAGTCAAAAGAAAGAAAAAAAACCTAATAATAAATGAATAACATGAATAAAATACAACCTTATTTACCATGAGCTGATTCTTCTTAACGTAATACTTCACCCAAAGATGAAAATTCATACTTTAAACATTTATTACATGAGGGTGAGTAAATGATAAGTAGAATAAAGCAATAAGCCCCAAGAAGCCGTGGTTTACAGTGAATTTATAACAGCTAAGGGGCGTCGTTAGGCAAGATGCGAAACGGAGTCTATTTATCTACTTCACGGGGATTATTGCTTTTATAAAACGGTTATTCCATATGTAAGGTTTCACAGAATAAAAGTGCAAATAAAGTGTAATGATATAAATAAAAACAGTATTCTTCCACCAAACAATGTAGTTCCTCAGAAACAGTTGTGGTTCCAACAAAGTGGTTGCCGAGCAACACACAGAAGTAAACAAAGGTGTATGTTTGTAGTGTAAACAGCTTCGAACGTGGCTCAACCAATCAGAATGTAAATATAAAACTAAAAACTATCCGTTTTATAATTTTCAGTTTGGGGCGAACAATCACTTTAAGGGAGTTTTACGAACTCAAACATTCCTCAACCGTAGTAAAATCACCGTAATCCCTTGTGAAAAAGAAGTACACTTTAGCATACTTTCAAAAAGAGTATTTATTACAGAAATAATATACTTTAAAAGAATATACTGAATATGGTGCGTACAATATCAAATAATACAGTACAGTTTAAATTATAATCAAGTACTTAACATGTGCTTAGTATGTTAGTCAACATCAGAATACTGTACTTATGTAAAGCACAACAAAGTGTACTTCTTTAAAGTAAAACTTTTAACTTGACATTTACAAAGCACACTTATTAAAAGTGTCAAGAAGCAGTCATGAAAGTACTTTCTTTAATTGCATGTAGGTGGCCTTTAATTTAATTCATAATAATACAGATTTTAAAATATACTTTTAAGATTTAAAGTATACTAGTTTGATTGTTAAAACAAAAAATATGTGTTGTTTGTCTCAATAAAGTGTGTTAATTATAAATACAGTGGTTAAATTTAAAAAAAAAATTCTATTGCTTTTTGTTTTAAAAAAGGTTATAAAAAATGTCAATAATTATCGATACCGAACGATATGAAACATTATATCGTTGATACATTTTTTAGCTATATCGCCCAGCCCTACTACAAGTGCACATTTGATACAATTTTGTTTTACACATCTTGTTATGGCTTATTATTGTAAGCTTCTAAATGCAATTTATAAATGTTCTCTCGTCTTGTTTTTGTGTGCAGTAATCTGGAGAACAAGGCTAATGCGGTGAGGGCCATCCGCACTCTTTTGAGAGAGAACGCCAAGCGGACGGCTCCAGCTGAGCGACGATTCAAAGATCTAAATTCGAACTTCACCTTCCCCAGGAGAAGCCACCCAGGAGCGCTTAGAACAAACTCCTGGCAGCGGCTGCCGCCACAGTCAGATGGGCCACAAACCTTAGACTCAGATGAGGGCAGACTGCTTGACGGATACGCTCACTCCGAACCTCCCCTCAGGCCCTCCAGAGGCCAGAGCTCTACTCAGAGCAAGAGATCCACGTTGTGCTCCCTGACCAGCGCTTTGGAAGCTCAACTCCAGAGACTGAACTTTGTGGAGGAGCCACAGGGAATGAGTGAGAGCAGTACCAGCAGCCTTCAGGGCAGTCAGGTGACTCTGCTGGACGACACTCCAGGTCTGGACCTCAACACCCTGCTGGCCAGGGACTACAGCGTGCAGAGTTTTGGTTCGGTAGTTAACGAGGATTGTTTTTACGACACGGTCATGGGCATCCAAAAAGCTGCCATCCCCACCCTGTAGAGGAAGTTGGCGCTATAAAGATTAAATGCACTAAAACATGATTATCGTGCCTTGATGTGAACAGCTTTTACACAGCCAGTTTTATATCTGTAGCACAAAATCTAGTGAGCTGCCTACCTGGATGCCAGTTTACAAGATAATAGGCAAATATTGTAGGTATGCTGCCTTCTAAGGCACCTTGCTTTGCTCAGGTTCGAAGGCAGTATCACGTATTCTTATCAGAAATTATCCAAGATGACAGAGTTAAAAAGAAATTGACTATAAATATACTAATTAAATACTGAGAAGTTTGAAACATTTTTTTGCTTATTTGATAAAAAATACAGTAAAAACATTAATATTATAAGACATGATTATTTTTTTAAAGAACTGCTTTAATATATTTTGAAATGTTATGTATTCCTGTGATGGCAAAGCTGAATTTTTAGCAGCTTTTTCCTTTAGAAGTCATTCTAATTTGCTGATTTGGTGCTCAAGAAACATTTCTTCTTATATCAATGTTGAAAACATTTGAAAAAAAATCTTAATTATTCCAAACTTTTGACTGGTAGTATACAATAAAAGTTACATTTAACCGGGGTTCTTATAGTCTTGGAAAAACTTGGATATATGAGGATATTTAATAAAATATAAAGAATTTTTATAGACCTGGAAAATTAATAATAACAATAAAAACAATCCTAAAACATTTTTATATGTTATGCCAAGCTCTAAAATATTTTATTGGGTCAAATTGTGAGTAAACTAAAATTTTAAACACTTCATTAGTACGAGTGTAGTATCGAAAGGGAACTTATAAGAAAGCATGCATACACACATACAGCTATCTGAAGATGAAGTCTCCATGAAAATGTGGTCCAGAAATACATCTTGCCAAAATATTTATGCCTGAATAAGATTGATATATTAATTGCATATCAAATTTCCATTCATTTTATTTGTTTGTTTATTTGTTTATTTCGATCCCCATTAGCCACTACCAAGCTAGTGGCTATTCTTCCATTTGGATTATTTAGTTTTAATATAAACTAATAAACTCCTATTTGCAGCTAAATCATGAAAGATGGGAAAAGTCATTAAATAAATGAATCCAATAAATTCAGTGTATTAATTGGTTAAAATGAGTGAGATCCCTAAAGAACATTCAAATCGTGAAACTTTTGGCAATCTGAATCTTATTTTAATAATAATTATTGTTGTCATTTTAATCTCTGGACACTGACATTTTCTGTAAATTGAAAAAAAAAAAAAAAAACGTCATTACAGCAGATGTACAAAAGGAAACCTATTGTCGTGGACAAATGGGGACTTGGAGTAAAAAAGACTGAGAACCTTTGTTTTATGTGCGACTGAGAGGAGTGTCCCAAATCAGTCACTTTCATCTGGGTAGTCAGCTCACTAGGGTTTGGAACAGAGATGATCCTGCCTTCAATTCAGAGCACAGTTTACTTATCCAGAGCATTCCATATGTGCTGACACATGTATTATTAATACACGAGCAAAGACTGCTTCACTGTAAGTGAATACTGTAGCTTTACATTTGTATTTGCTTGTTTGACAAAGGCTTTTCTCAGCTCAAGACTGAAATGGCTTGATTTCACTGAGCTGGGCAAGTTTTGATCAACCTGAAGTCTGAATATAGAATATTTTGTCTAAATTATGCTTGTATATGTTTCTTACAGAACTGTTGAGTGCACATTTGTAATGTGTGATTTGTATTATTCAAAGGCATGTTTTACATTCCTTAAGTTAAAAATGTAAGATTTCTTTGTAGTTTAAGCTTGAAAATACTGTTATTACTGTTAAGATATGAATGTTGATATGCTCTGTTGTCAGTTTTAGCTATTGTAATTTATTTGTAAAAAATATACTGTTATGACTTAACTAAACATACTTTGTGAAAATGATTTTGTTTTCATATTTAATAAAGACTGTTCTATAATGTCTTGATATCATGAAAATCTTGCAAATATTGATCTCCTACGTCATAAACCAAATTCAATATTCAAACATGCGGGCAGAAACAAGATTTCAGCGACAACTACTTTATGATTAAAGCAAAAATGCTGTGTGACAACAAAATTGCAGTTAAAACATACTTTGCATTTAATATGCATTTTTTTTTTTTTTTTTTTGAAAGGTTTATAAATTATTCTTTCAGTCACTCTTTCTCACTGGCTCTCGAAAACAACCTTATTTTAAAAGTAATAGAGAGAGAAAATTGAAATCGGAAAAAAAAATATGCTCAACTGAGTCGTAATTATGAGCCTTTTTCTCTAGCTTTCTTTGTTGAGGATTTTTGTGGGCGATGTTCATTGTGTTTGTGGGCTTTGATAGCACAATTCTTTGTCTCTTAGACTGAAGAGAGATGGGAGGGGGTGTTCTGTACTACAAAAAGGAACTTGATTTACATTATCAGAAGCTGTACCAGTGCTTGCCAGGCAGCTGAGGAATAGTGGTAAAGTTTTAGGTACGCTTAGGTTTTAGTCTTTGGTTCTGTGTACATGAAATGCAGTTGTCATGACACAAAACCTTTTTTTTCTGTCGACTGTATGAATGTCAAACAAGAAACACAACCACTGTTTACAATGTTATATGGCTTTGTTCATACCGACAGCGGTTTGCAGCAACAGAGTAACTGGAAGTCATTCATTTTCAGTACAAATAGCTAATTTTCAATGGCATGAATGAGTTGAGTTTGACCATGCAAATGAGCACTGGTTCTACAGCAGCCACCAATGGGAGGTGAGCTGTGTGTGTGTGTGTGTGTGTGTGTGTGTGTGATTAAATTAAAAAATAGTTTTGTGTGAGGTGTAGGTTTAGGGGTAGAGTTAGGGAAAGGGGATAGAAAATACAGTTTTTGTACAGTATGACACTGGAATGGAATGTCACCATAAAACCAGTATGTATGTGTGTGTGTGTATGTTTGTGTAATACATACTTATACCCTTATAGGAATATATTTCCTTATAATGTGTAATCATTTCCTTTAAGTAAGACTTACCCCTGGTTTCAGAGACAAGGCTTCAGCCTAGTCCCAGACTAAAATGCATGTCTGGGCTGTTTGAACTGAAAGAAACTTGCACTGACATCTCTTAAAATATGTCAATGCCATTGTTTTCAAGATGCACACCAGTAATGTCTTTTCTTTTCAAAGGCACGTTTATAAAAGATGTCCTAATTGAACTATGGCCTAATCCTGGCTTAACCTAAACCCTGTCTGTAAAACCAGGCCTTGGAATATTAAATTTAGACATACGTATAAGCTAAATCTAAAATCTGGGAAATCACTTGTATCACTGTTTTATATTGTCATTGCCCAGCCCTAAATCTTGCTCTATGGTAAAGCATTAATGCATTATTGACATAACCGTAGGTAAGACTTTCTGTAAAGCTTTTTAAAATTATGCGTATTGCGAAAACGCTATAAAAATCAATTTGACTTGTCCAAGTCATTATTAATAATACTTGCCATAAGTAAACCACTTGAAGATTTCTAAATATACCTGGCATTATGCACTATGAATAATGTTGGCTCTGTGATGAACTGCTAATGTTCCTCTTTTGTAAGCCTAAATGCATAAACGTAAAAGTAAATTTTATTAAAAAAAACTACTGTACTTTTGATCAACAGATGCTGTGAGTTTGGGGTCGAGACTATTTGTTTGTCAAGCAATAACAAGGGGAAATTTGGAAAATTTCTGGAAAATTAATTAATTTTGTAATTTTATTTTATTTGAATTTAAATCAAGTTTAAATGGAAATCTCTCAACCGGTACAGATGAATTAAAAGCAGAAAATTGTGGGCACCCTGATTACATCTAACATAAAGTCATACAATCTAATATACAGTGGGTATATAAAAAAGAATCACCCCCCTTTAAAATCGCATTTTATTGCTTTACAACCTGAAATGAAGACGGACACAGTTTTTGTTTTATCCAGCTGTATGTACTCAGTGCAACTTATAACATCCAAGTGAAAGACATAACACCAACATGTCAGGAAAACAAAAAACAAAAAAACAGAATCACTGAGTTGGAAAATCACCCCCTTGTGTCAGTATTTTGTTGAACCACCTTTTGCTTTAATTACAGCCTTTAGTATGTTGGGATTTGTTTCTACTAACTATGCTCATCTAAACTTTGCAATATTTGCCCACTCTTCTTTGCGGAGCTGCTCAAGTTCAGTTTTAATTGATGGTGACTGTATGTGGACTGCAGTCTTCAAGTCATTCAACAGATTTTCAATGGG